TACTGTCTAGAGGTATTGCTGTGCGACATGTAACCCATTGATGGTCCGAGTGGGCAGCAGGATCTATCGCTTATTTTGGAAAAAATTCACTCACTCTCCATACTGTGTTCCGAAAACAACCTCCAAGATTCTCCGCACTGGAAAATACCGTGTTTGATGAGTTGTAGGCATAAAAAACCGGAAGAAACGCTTCCGATGCTGTATGTATAAACTATTTTATCGATTTCTCCACCTTGGGCCAGAAAAAAATGTAGTTTGGAAACTGAAGAACATCAACCGGATTCGGGCAACCCATATGTGTTTCGAATCACTGTAATTGCTAAGTCGACTGTGATGACTATTTGTATGGCGATACCTCGAACTCAGTAGGGCGCTTTTAGTATATGCACACAGTATACCTAGTAAATGTGTTAATGGAAACTGGTTTGTTATTTGTTGAAATGCTGGTTAATTAACAGAAAATCCCACTACCAAAACGTATGCGTGGAGGTTCTTGGGAATAAACCACAGATATCCCGTCGTCTTCTCGCTTTCAAACCAAGTTGTTTTCCATATCTTTTAGTAGTAAAGTTCGTCTGGAGATCAAACAAAAGATTTTGTGGTCAGCTAATTTTCAACCAGCACTTTGAAGATCCATTAGGCTTTTAAGTAGTTTGGCATCAATTAGAAGGTTTGCGATGTTTTGATTGTCATTCCAATTGAACTAGCAGCCAGCCTTTGCACAACACGTTTGCTTGGAGGAGATAATCGAAATTTAAGCCCGGAATTGAAGCCACTGCTTTATTCTTGTTGGAAGCGTCAACAATGCATAATCAGGAACCCAGGAATTCCCATTCGTAGTGCGGCAATATCAGATAATGCGTGTCTGATTGAAGTACGATTAACTTGGACTTAGACAGTATCCAACGCCACCATCATTGAACCACGCAGTTCACAGAACGCGATCCGGAGTTCTGGGCATGGACTCCTTAAAAAGTGAGCATTCGGCACTCGTGTTTTTTCTCTTTTGAGCAGATTACTTCTTTTGTTTGGGATCCGAATAAATTTGAAAGCTTCACTTTGAATGCGATCCAGTAAATGAACTGAATCTATGCTAAAAACCGAGAAGCAACTTAGAAATGTTCCATTCTTGTTAGGAATCATCAGCAATGTGCGAATTCTTGAATATATGGGAAAAATTAAACACCCATCCTTCTAGTCCACACAACATTTTGGCTTGAAAGTGAAACTCCAACCCTAAGTAAGTTTCTAAGGTGAGTCTTTCACTGTCTTGGCCCTTGTATAGTCACATTGAGGCTGTGGATTGAAGTGGAGCTATTTAAGCCGGTGCATTGATAAAAAGCTGCCCAAAAAGCCTGCTGTTGGTAGCACGAATAAAAGACGCTTGAAATCTTGCCCCACCCCCTTCACAGATACTCACAACGTCCACCACGCATGGAAGTTGTGTCTGCACGGTTCGAAAAGCAACCCCCGAATAATCTGCGCAAAAGCAACTTTTTCCATTTTGTCATTGCACTGTATGATCAAAATCGTCATCCCATTGAAGTTGAACGGGCTGCTTTCGTTGATTTTGTCGAGAAGGACAAAGTAAGTTATTTAAAAAATGACCTTCCCGCTATCACCTGAAGTCCATATGCAATTTCAACCACTTCTACGAGCTTGTATCTCCTTCAGTGCCAACAAGAATGCGGTCATAGCGCAGCATAAGAAAAGGCTGAATTTGGTTCACATTTCCAAACCTACAATTAGCGCAGGACTCAGCTCTGCTTAGATGCTATGACCTATGCGCATTTTCATTACAACCTTGCCTATAACATCCATATTTGCAAAGAAAGACTGGGCAATATAGTTGCCCAATGACACCTTCCTCTCTGAAGTGGTCCGATTAGGCTAGCCCCTCCGAAAATACTACTTTTTGTAAGTTCATCAAGGCTCAGCAAAATATGAAACAACTCCCATGCTGGAGCACCTCACGGAAGAGACCAGTTTTGATCGCCCGTTCGCAGTATGTCAAGTAATTCAGTTGCATTTTGTGCAATGTGCCTAAATATAGTTTACAGTTGTCCACGAGGTCAAAACTATTTTTACCAATCAGTATCTCTTTTTGTAAGCTAATATATTTTCAAGCAAATGGGGGAAAACAGAATTACAGCAGTAGCATACAAACTGTTCTGACTGAAATGCATGGCACTAATTTACCATATAGAAAGTTATTTGTCCTTCCATTCTCTTAATCATTACGGCGAATAGCTGGTTATTACGTTGTTGAATGAGACTGACAGACTCGAATAGGCTTTATTTCCTTTGAATCAAATGTAAACATCATCCCGTCGTTCACCTGGAACTACATACCCTCAAGTAATGAAAATTTCGGTTTGAAACTCACCGTATAGATTGTTATAAAAACCACTGCCGTCAAACCTATAATCTTTTCTCACAGTACGCCTAAAAGTCTGCAAAAGCTCCCAAGCCCTTTGCTGAGTTGAAAGTTTAGGTTAGTTTATCTTGCAAAGCCAAGGCGCTGCTTTGACACGTTAATTTTGGATCATCGTTGCTATCATTTTGAAAGCTATCTCCCATTTGTGCCATACTCCACCCACAGCAACTTAGAACAGTTGACTGTAGCTTACTGATGGCGAATATAATGAACCCTACCGAACATCAAACATCGTCAGTCGGATAGATAATGCACCACTGCTGCTATAGCAAACGCTAGATGAACCTGGTTTACACCATCTGCTCGTGTAAATTTGCGCTTAATTAGTTTGTCACTTTGCCCAACACCAGGTCGATGTCTACGGAAACGTTGATCGAGATTAACTGTATTCTGTAAATAACCATGAAGAAAGATTATTGATGTTGCACTACTCATAAGGTTGCTGAAAACTCCTCGACAGTCCACGACCGGTTTCGCCGCTCTTGGGGTTCATCAGGTAGGCGCAGTCCCCGAGTTTCCGTCAACCCTATGTTCTACTTGAAAACAAATTGCACGAGATTAGCGAATATACACTCATTTGTAAACCGAAACCAGATCAGGAGACAAGTGAAATTAATCTTCGGTACAAAATCTCTGAGTTTGCGTGACTTTAAACCCAGATTCCCCGGATGCTTCGATTGCTGAGTGACATTCCATGGCCCAGTTATTTCTTAACCATCTCAACCCGGCTATAGCACATGCGATTTCAGTTTATACTGACAGTTCGATACAAGTGACAATGGATATATTCAAACAAACAAAACATTCCTGTCAAGGATGAAAGTGATATTTTCTGTGTCATTATGGGAGTTTCCGCAAAATAATATTTTACATTAGGATGTCGTTCCGAAATCTCAGAATGTGTGCGGTAAAACGGACAGCGACCCGACCAGGCATGCCTTCCAGTCGAACTCGTGCTAGGTTTTTCCAATGAGCTGTTTATGACTACAGTGCTCTCTGTATCTAACGACATTTCTCCTAATATATCCGTCGCTAGTGCGACCAGTTTTCTTTGTACGGTATTTGGAAGTGTTCTTCGCCTTCTATAACCCCCACTACAAATTGATCAGCAATGCTGGCTTCTAAAGATCATCTAAGCGGTGTTTTCAGTACACCAAGTCCACTCCCGTGAGTACCGTGTTATTTGATTCCTTTCATAAACTGCAGGAACCGGAGGGAGAGAAGACAAACAATGGCATTCACTATCGCGCTAGACTGATTTTCTCAAATGGTAAGCAATCATATTTTTATTCTCTTTACGCCTGCGAAATTTCCTGGCACGTTGAAGCGAGTCGTTCTCCAAGCGAGTGATACACTGAACTCAACTACGAGGTGGCAGGAGGCACACATACTTCCTTACTGAGTTAGGTGAATGCAATTGTGAAAATGCCAGGGCAGGGTCGAGTGGGTGGGTAGATGACCTACTCTGGATTTTATCCCAGTTGGTGATGAAACGTTTGCCATTCAACTGCTAAGTTCGGTGCATCCGATCTACCAATATCGCACAATACCACCAAACCCTTAGTTGAACGATTCCATGGGTTTGTCAAAACTCCTAAGAATCTTCCTGGTCACCCATTTCGTGGAATACGATAGCGACTCAATCTAGGAACCTGACACTTGAACTGATTTTGCACTGAACACTCTTCAGCAGCAGAAGACTATTCAGTTACGGCGTAGCTTTGAAAGTACTTCCTTTTGTTTCACCAGACGAGTTACACTGACCGGTCGACAGTCATTTTTTGCATTTTCAAGTCAGCTCTTGTAGGAATTTCGAAGGACATTGTTTCTGACCTCTGTGAAAAGAAAATCATGAATTTCGATGGGGAACTGGCTCGAAACATTGGATAGTCACGTGTGCCATAAGCATTAGCCAGTAACGACAGTTGTTTGACACTACTGTCTTTGAATGAGGCTTAATGGGCGGATCAATCCACTCCTGCATGGGGAGGGAGGTGTGTAGCTGACGGATGAACTGACAAGATGGATGGAAAAATGTGTCCTAGTTCTTATTCCATAGTGCCGCAATTTATGTTTCAGCACTGTGAGTTAAACTGGATCACGAAATCGTGCGTGCTTTTCCTGACTAATTCTCTGATTTGACTTCTGGACAACAAAAGTAATTATCGTACGAGCCAAACACTTGAGCAAAATACTTCAATTACCTACACTACTAGCATCAGCGGGAAAAGTGACTGCACGTTTCAAAGTTGAAGTGTGGACGCTGAGCCTGAATATCGGGTGATCGATCCGATCAATATGATCACCGTCAGTGAGAAACCTTGAGTGGATTAGACTACTCATGAACTCTTCGACAGCCGAGGATCGGTTTCGCCCTTCTTGGGGCTCCTCGGACTGGTGGAACTCCTGAGTTTCGGCCAACCTTTTGCTTTACGTGAATCCAAATTGGACACAAAAAGACCGACGTAAACCAGAAATTCAGCTGGATTCAGCTGAGTCTCCCGTCAAAACCAGATTCGTACGCAAATGAATGTGTCTGGCGAGTATTGTAGAATAATTCTTTAGAACATCGGATGATAATCTTCTAAACGTCTGTTATTGGGACAAGAGGCGTACAGATTACCGGGGGTGATGACACCCAGTTTTACTGCGTCTGCTTCTCTCTCAAAAGTACGTTTATAATCCAATTCATTTGGTAGTCCGGGTGAGGTTTTTATCGCATCGTACTTTATTGACTCAAATGAATTCACGGCGCTTCATAAGTGTTCGAGACCCTACACGTCCTTAGGGACATCCTGGCTTGTCACTTAGCCATCGCCATAACTTTGTCCGTAAACTTTTAGATATCTTTCGAACCTCATGGAATATCATTAAAATTTGTTGATGATTTTGCACGAAAAGGCGTGATAAAGGTGAGCTTCACCGTCAGATAGGCCACCTGGTTTAATAACCCTTTTACGTCAGGATGAACGTCGGTTCGGCGTGTGCCATATGGGCGAATGATATGCCTCAAATTCTGTCTCCGAGGCATGCAGTAAGTGCAGAATGAATTCTGGGGCTTTATTTTAACTAAAGGTCTACATGGCACGGTGCCGTAGAAAGATATGCTAGCTTTTTTCAAACTAAATCGGCAAAAAACGCAGAAGTTCCCGTTTAGCGAAGATATGGTGACCACCCAGCCTGGGAAAGGTGCAGAAGAATCTGCCCCACGATAGGCTGGATATTATGTAATGAATTCATTTGGTTAGTGGATCAATTGTGATAAATGAAGTTTCTGTCTTAGTTTAGTCGACATTTGCAACCATTCCAAGACGCTGATCGGGTGAATTTTGACAGAGCAGCTTGTGTGCTGGTCAGCGATCACAACTTCCTTGGAATAGCCACACAACAATCCATAGAACCTAATCAATCGCCCCAGAAATAAATTCAAACTTTACTCCTTTTGGTTAACGAAATGCACTGCTGGTCTCTTATAGCCTTCAGCTTGAATACGACTGACAGCTAGCATCGGAGAATCATCACAATGAACTAAAACTCGAGCTCTCAAACTTATCATTCTGCCCTTCTTTAAAGTACAATGTTTTTTTCATCATAGTGTAGTTAAATGTTCTTATAATCGACAGGTTAAACTATTATACTGATCTTCCGGTCACCACCTAATGCGTAAAATTTGATGCCCCAGTGGGAAATTAGTTTTGAGAGAAACTCGTCAACTCGCGTAAGCTCAAGTGAGTTGAAATATGCAAGGAGTTGTGGGAGAGTTTTCAATAAGATCACAAGTATAACTGACTCAAGCAAATTGTTGTTCCCATTTCAGGTTTACAGCAGGATCAAGACCTCTACGTTCGCTTGGTTGACTCTGCAACAAAACAGGTCAGTGGCTTACGGCCAATTTTGAATCTGTACATGTTAACTATGTCAGACTGTTAGCCACTGCTAGCCAGATACGCTTTGGAAAATTATAGATAAGTGTTAACTCTCCACAACGAACTGTGAAATGCCAGACATGGTTGATCGTAAGCCCGAGGTTGTCGTTTACCGGGGGAACTAAAACCAACCGTCTTGTATGACTGTTTTAGACATAATTTTGTTGCAAGAAAGTCTCTTTGGGCACGCTTATTACCCTACTTACTCCACACCATACTAGTGAGGCGTGATAGCTGGTGTCATATATGAGACATAGGACCACCGCTACAAGAACTTATGGGGGGAGCGAAATGGCCCAAGCGGTTAGAGCGTGAATTTAATGACCGGAAGATGCATGGTTCTGACCCGATCTCTACACCTCGACTTCTCTCTAGACTTGAATAACCTGGCAGTATCGCAGTTCTCGCGCTTTCTTCAAGTGACATGGCAGTTGGGCACCGAAAGTTTGTTACAGCGGAACGAAAAAATACTGGCAGTTTCGTAAAAAGGCCTTTCAAAATAAACATCGTCTTTACATCCGAAAGTACATGAGATCTGCACAGAAATTTGTTGAGCAACCTGTGTGAAAACTCACCGATGTGGATGACGCCTATGTTATAAAATTGCTCTAGCTTAGGACTTCCTGTGTGACTTCATGGTCATATCCAGAACATATTACAGCAAACGGAATGTTTCGACTAAACAATGGTGCCCTGGTAACAGACTTTCGAGCTTGGGTCTTTAACTGAAGTTCCTGTTCATACGCCTGTCCAGCTTTGAGTGTCCTGACAGTAACTTAACCCGCATTTGACTATCAACTACGCGAGGATTACCTTCAAACCATATTGGCCGTCCATGGTGTCGGTCGGGTCGCCTTGTTCCAGAAGCATAGGATTACTTGCGCTTCTCTCATTGATAATGTGCTGTTGCCGTTTATGTTACTGCTACTGATGTTGATGAGGATGACGATGATATGTGCAAAAATGGTGACGATGATAGTTTTTCCACTTCAAAAATAATGTGTTAGGCAGCTGGTGACTTCTCGTTAACGGGGCAATTAATGAGACTGAAAGTAACCAGACGTTGTTCAGACGAACCACAGTTACATGCGAGGATATTTGCACGAGCCATTCAGTTGAGTTGAATAACCTGGGTGGATTCGAATGATTGAATTCTTTACATTCGAAAATATATCCACAGTTCCAATGATCCTTCGGATGTTAGACCCAACCATGAATTCAGTCTAATTGCCACTTACAAAGTGCAATATGTATTGGATGCAGAAGGCCACTGAAGTCAAACAAACTCTATTGGTAAAACATGATTCCACTAATAAAAATTGAGGAACGATACAATAGCAGCGGGAAAATACGCGAGTGTCCACCAGCTATGGTCACTCGTCCCAATGTGCAGTTTGTCCAATGTCCACAATAGATTATTGATCAGGAATGCTGAAAATTCAGTAAAAACGAATAAGATATTGCATACGTTATTCAAGGGCCTATAGTATGATCTCGGTACCACCAACTGCAAGAGAGCAGAATATTACAAACGCTTTTATCGAGGGCATCCCACTGGATAAGTGCCGTGTCATATGGGAAACTACCGTGTCGCAAATTTTCAAAGAGTGCTACAAAACAGGTAGACACTTAACTCGGGACTGGAAAGCCAGCGATGAACAGAGAAACCAATAAGGCCCTTTTTGGCGACGGAGACAGAGCTATCGGAATCGTGCTCACTTCAGCTACTTCTGGTTCTTGTTTGTGATAGGATTTTGGAAACCTTTGTGGTACGTGGGGAATTACGATGGACACATATCTCAGCCACGTGGCCTGTGTCGATCAGCTGGTAACTGACCATGCCTGTCACGTTTGTGACAAACCCATTTCCAACACAAACCGTGAGAAGCTCTGAAGTCAAATTGAGTTGTCCACATGAATTACAGGATATATACAAGCAAACGATGAGTCGCTAACTGGCAACTTATCCTTGAAAGCGATTGGCTGCTACTGAACTGGGCTCTCAGCTACATTGTATGGTCACCTCAGAAAATTAATCGAGCAACGGGTTACCCTTTCAGGAGCAGTGTCAATCATTCAAATGAAAGGTGTTCCGTTTCTGAGTGTTTGCTCAAATGTGTGCATTTAAACTGGTTTGGATACATAAGTTCTTTCATTTTTTATCCAGACACGGTGCAGTTCCTCAGCGAGCTTATCATTTGTGCAGATTCTATGGGATTCGTAAGTCAGGTTACCTTACGAAAAATCCGTGGAACTTGACGTATCGATTGTACCACGTAAGACATCTCAGGTTGTCTCTACTAGTTCTCAGTCGGTGCGATATCGATGTACTGGAAGTTGCCACTGGACTTCTCCTCCGCGGTTAAATGTGGTGCTGTGTAAAAGTTGCATGTTACTGCCGCATGGTTTACAAAAATATCACCGTTCTACGGTTCAAAACAATTCATATCCGATTCTGCTGACAAAGGGACCCACCAAAGTCTGACTGAAAGATGGATCGACTGAAACTTTGCACTCTCTTCAATGGTAAATGGCATCACTGGGTGTAAGCTGCCTTGAATAAGACCAGAAAAACAACCTTAGAATTAATGATCACTTGAGGGTTTCGAATGGACATGTAGTTATTAATGGTGACGCTATACCTAACAAGCACATTGATATACCTCTGCCTTGCACATTGCGAGCATCGTTGACGGGCCAGAAGGTGTGTCGTAGACTGCTTACCTGGTTTATTACGGATATGCTCCAGTAACTTTCTCAGTTGTTGGTCGGTCACACGATAGGAAGAGTCATTCGTGTTCAGTAACAAGCGCAGCGAACACTCCTCTTTAGTTAGTTGCAAACAGCAAGGCATTTGAAAAAAAACTGAACAGCAAAAAGATGCCTCATAAAAATGCACACTGTCGTTTGCTTGTTCAAGTTTCGTTGTGTCTGAATGTGTGTCAAAGAGGCAATAGTTGTCAGCATTCATGTCCTGACTTAAAATTTCAAAAACACTTGTTTATTACTTCACAAAAGGACTGTCTTCATGTTGTAAACCTTGGAAAGCTTCTTACAAAATGCTTTTATTATCAAACGTTGCAATTACTCTCCATTCCTCATCGTTTTAGCCTATTGCCTACGAAGGTCAAGATAAAAATCCGGAAATGTGTCGGGTTCTACTCACGCACGAAGTAATGTGCAGTCGGTGTTGTGAAAAGAAGAGTTGTGGGAACCGCAATGAGACTCCCTCTGACCCCGTGGTCCTTGACAGGTAATGTAATTTCACAGTGTTGGCCACAGTATATCTCCACGGTATATATCTCCAGTAAGTGGGGCTCATATGGTGAGTGCAGATTGATAGGCTCTGCGACACCATAATTGCCGGTTGAAAATTTTTCTTCTGGGGATCGCTTTTCCGTGGGCAATAACTTTGGGCCTGATTCTAGGCTGTCCCAGCTTTATTACAGGAAGCCGACTCCTTCCAACTACTTAAATTGACCAACGCCCAAACGTAAGGCTAGGTATGTGTAAACTTTAGAAAATTCACCGTGTAAGCGATTCATTTACGTCCATCTATCAATACTTTCCGTGGAGGGCTGTTCATTAAACTACCTTGTTTTTCTATTGTATATTCGAACTTATTGAATTTGGGTTCTTCTGGGCAAAATTGTCAGAGCGTTCTGTTCATTTTACCGGACTAAGCCTTAAAAGGTATTCTAATTGCCTATTTTGAAGAAGTGATGTTTCCAACAACTCCAAATTTCTCCTATAAAATCCTAATTTTTTTCCATTTTTCACAACAGTGCATTCTCCACAAAGCCGTCTGCTCGAAAACCTAGTTCATTCTGACAATTAGCTTACCGAAACGGCGTGCCTTGAGCAACACACGTTTTACTTAGCTTGACCTCCCCTAGGTTGTCTGTGAAGGATGTTTGTAAGACACTTGTTAGTCATTCCACCCACCATCCACAAGGAACTGTGGTTAACACAGGCCATCAACTCAGCGCTTCAATGGATTACTCACACAGACCAACAATCGTCCTCTCCACTATTGCTCAGTGTTCTGCCGATAAGCCCCCCGCGATGAGGCTATCAAACGTATCAAACATTTGATGTTCTCAGCAGACGTTAGGTAATTAAACTAGCATTAACTCGGTATGGGGTCATGGCTGTTCGAATGCCTCCGCTGGTTCCTCGTGGAGCGACAGCTCCATTGGAGCCTGTGCATTAGGAGTGACGCATAAAAACGCGGCGGTGTTACGCACACAGCCTAGGGACAGGAATAAACTCAGCCACTGTGCCGTATCATTCGAGACTTCGCGACTGTGCATAAAGGCCTAGAAGTGTCCTTGTTGATGCGTATACTTTCAAAAGGCAACCAAAAACCTCCAAGCAGTTTAATTCGTCCGTGCCTCGCAGTCTACTTCGAAGGGACATGCACAATATTTTCGTGTTAACAAAAACAACTTCTCTGTTTGATCTTCATTTGGCTTGGTCAAAGTGTTTTGCTGTATTGGTTAGTTTGGTTCTACCCGGTTGGTCACACTATTTGACTGTACCTGCGCCTGGTACTATGAACATCATGTCTGTTTTGCAACCATACAGTACAACTAGACTGCCAAAACATGCGGCATGTCTAGTCATGGTCCGCGTCGAGTACTACACGGTTGAGTTGAAGAGTAAGTGGTCTAAAATTTACACAGAAATTAAGGTGGCTGGTTAGACCAAAGTGGCAAAGCGGTGGCAGGCCTTTTTCGCTACAATACGTCACTGTTCATGCACCAGTGATGAGAATATTTGGAAACCTCTTTGATGAACATAGACTTCCAGAAGCAGCCAACTAAACATTACTACAAATGGTTCATACCTAGGAAGAGTTGTTTTGCAAAAATAACTCTGTAGGTCAGCTATTTTAATTGTACAAATATCACAGTAGGTGTGGGAGTATACAGGTATGCAAGTTATCCCAGGGGAGATCAAGAATAAAAAAAACTTACTCTTCAAGGGATAGGTACATTTTGAGAAGAGAAAGTTTTGTCACTGCGATCCTCTTAAGGAAACAAATTTTCCGGAATCAAAGCGGGGTTTTACGGGTCTCACGATGTCCAATGGACTTCCCAAATAGACCATAAATTCTATTCGGAGGAGATTATTGCTAATTTACAGTCCAGCAAATGGCGTTTGAAATCCGGTATGAAATTCATAAGACCGCATGCCCCTTATAAATTCGGTTTCAGGCTGCTATTAGGGCAGCTTGAAATGCATCACGGACCCACTCGAGGATTTCATCCATATTGTCTCTTCTGGGGATTTCGGGACCCATCGGCAAAACTGCTGAAGATCAGCAGAGATCTCTACTGCAGTGCAACGATCCTCGCTCGATTAAAAACCGTTTAAGGAGAGTTATACCTCGAAATAGAAGTGTTTTCCGCGAAATGCTGGTCAACCACAACATTCCGCACAGAGTAGCAGTGGTTTCATTTGCCTCAGTGTTTTCAGAAGTCTTCAGAGATCTTCGTTTAACCAGCATGTCGTTTATTGATACACATTAGTTTAACGAGAACAGCGTGTATAATGGTAATTAACCTTCATAAAAGAAAAAAATCACAAGGTTGCTAAAAACTTTTCGACAGCTCACGACCGGTTTCACTCTTTGTGGCTCATCAGGTAGGCTCAGTATCGAGTTTCCGTCAACCTTATGTTCTACTTAAACTTAAATTGGACAGATTTCTACAAATACACTCATTGACATAATGACTGGGTTTTCACGGGAGACTCAAATGAATCTGTTGTAGAAGAGTTTTCAGCAACCTTGTGGGTAGTTTCCTTTATGAAAATATACTGCGATATTTCGAATATCGTACCAACTGAAACATGCGGCTTCCTTTGTGCAGCACATTTAGTTGGAGAATATCATAAACTGGAGATTCAGTTGAGTCCCCCTCGGTAAAACCAAACTGATTTGCATGTGAGTGTATTTGTGCTAACTAGCTTTCTGCACTTCGGTCACTTGTGAATAAAAGAACATTAGATTCGGTAATTAATCACCAGTGATGACTTTTAGTAACTCCGTGAACACCGAGTTATCGTGTTGCGCTTTATCGTCCATTTTACTTTTATCATTATCAGTCAGTTTCGCAGCTGTAAAATTTCCCAGTGAACTAGGTGATGCGCACCAAATTGGCGGTTAGGTCAAATCCAAGCACAACGATTTACTCGGTGAAGCAGGTTAACATAACAGCTAAATAAAGCTGAGTTTTCGTTAACAAGGAATAGAATACGTCAGGGCGGTCCATGTTATTTGCCTTCTCCTTAAGGAAAACCTTCTTATCTAGGAGACAATGATAGTCCACGAAGGCTTTCCTTTGAGTGGAGGTACCTCGTATGGGGTATTAAGTAAAACAATGTAAAATGTTCGCCCCGCAAAACGACGCTCATTCAGTAAATCAGGATTAGTTTACAAAACACAGTTACCAGGTTTAGTGTTGTCTTACCGCTCAGAAACCTCAGATAAGTATCTCGACAGATGAAGGTCTGACGTATGTCCTATCGCTAACAGGAGCTTGCATGCCTGGAACACATTGCAAGAAGTTGCTTTGTCCCAGGTGGTACAATTTAGTTGAAACGAAATGTTTATCTCTAAACCACGTACAGCTAAACGTGTCTCCACTGTGAATAAATCTTCGCCGTCAGAATAAACAATCCACATTTTCGCACCCCCTTCCTTCCACACTTCTACGTGCAGATACTTTCTCAAATTTTTCATGAAGTGCAACCAGAATTGTTTGAAAAACGCCGGAAATCCGAGAGACATGAGGCGATTCCAGGTGAGCCAGCTCTTGGTTTATTCCTGTAACAACCACCCCAACTGACTGGTCCAATTGTACTGAGCGATAACTGCAAACCTTAGAAGCTCTTCCAGTAGAGTGACTACCCCCCACCTAAATAGAGCAGAAACACAGTAATCTCCTGTCATATCAGAAAAAGATTACTTGGCTAACATTTTACTATTTTAGAGGAAGAATTTTGTGTAACTCGCAGTGAGCTATGCAATGTTTTAATGCTTTAGTAAATTATAACCAAGAGGAATCTGAAACCCTGTTGTCTCTCGGGTATTTTATAACACAAGATTCCCACGTTTCTCTCCAAGGTTGCCATCTCTTGTTCTCCGGCAATCGAACGAAAGTTACTTTGTATCTCAGATAACATGTTTGTGCACAACAATTCGAAGCACGGACGTCGGACAAGAAGGGTGGATCCGGCGGATGGAGGTGAGTGTAATTTTTAAGCTTGAGCTATTGTTTGCATATGTCTGCTTCCGGGGTTTTATCGGAAGGCTAACATTCGTTTGAAAGTTTCGCGCAGTAAAATGCATGCACCATTGTACCTGTATACAAAAAATCGATGGCTTTGTTTTCTTCAGCGCTTTCCAAAACATCTACGTGAGGTAGGGCAATTCATCGTATATGCATCAATGCATCAGGACCTGGTTTTCTATCTCACACAAAATTGACCTTGAGAGGCATAAGACCTTTAAATATTTAATTTGTTTCCACCTTCCTCCTAAAACGCTCAAATAAAGAGGGTGATTTGTTCAGCTGGTTTGCTGAACATGCAAACACGTGTACAAGCAGAGATGCTCCAACTCATGTCTTGGTTGTCTTCAAAGCATGGACGTGCTTGGCACTGTCATATCATTCTCGCGCCCCAGTATTTGGAACTCCGTATTGAGAATAGAATATTCTATGAAGTCTGAACACGGAGTTGAATAGGGTGCACAAACGTGTGTATATGTGAAAGACAGTCAAGTTCACCGTATGTGTCTGTTGGCTAGTAAACTGGAGAACGAAGAGTGCTCAGAAAACGCTCCTACTCTTGGTAATTAAGACAGAGCAGGCATGGAGTTCGAACCCGACCTGAATAACCTTTACTGTGGTATTGCTATTTGCGCGACAACATCCAGCTGAAACAGTGCTTTTTTGAGAGTTTGTGGATACCACCCATTTTAATTTCAGACCAGTTAACCTATAAACAAATAGTTCAGGCGCACAAGGCTGCGGTGCAATGGCTTATCACAATCAGCCTTGCTCGGCGTATTTCCCAGGGGAAGGTGAAGAGCCGAGCACTGCAAAGAACTGCACAACCTGAAGATGACTGCCAACAGATTGATTTGGAACAGAGGCGGTTGATGAACAAAAAATGCAAATCAGCAGTTTGAATTATGCGAAATTCCGGAAGGAGGTTTTACACAGCAGGTTGATTAGCATACGGTATAAAACGTATATCAGCCAGGAATATTTTGTTGCCTTATGGTCAGGCAGCCAGAATGCCTTTAATTTATGGTATTTTTTCAGACCGATACTTTGGCACACATAACTGTCCAGCTCCATAGGAGGCTATCTTCACGTTGTATTACACTTCCAAAAATTTTAGATCACAGGAGAAGCCATCCGAAAAGTTATAGTTTGGGAGGACAGGCGCTGAAAAAGACAGAAAATAAACGTAATAAGATCCTTCCTAGATGTGATCCTCTCTCTAAAAAGTGACAAAATCATAGATATGACCGGAATTATTTGAACTTTACATTGGTTTCAAATTCTAATCCAATGTCGAATAATCAGATGTCTGTTACGCTGATTTAACATACTGCCATCTACTAACTTCCAAGGCCATAAAATCTGAAAACTTTCTCTGAGTTTCCTGTTACCTCTCTAGAATGCTATGAGAACCATGAAAGAGACCGATACAACTACTCCAGTTAACCCTATGGAGGGGGATACAAACCGACATTTATTCGTTAGCTAAACGGTGTCTGCTTACAACATTGACATTCTTTCTCAATTGGAGGAAATACGGTGTGAGTAATGAAGCTGAAAAATGTCACTTACCAGCTACTTAATAGAAATTGGTGGCTATCACGGTTAGGAAAGCTTCAAACTGTGCCCTAAATGTGATTGTAAATATTCCCGACTTTTTCGGATTTTTGCCAATTAGGCAAAATATTCAGCAAAGCTAACCAGTGTTATCGTGCTCTAGACACAACACAGGATTCTGGTCAGAATTCTTCAGCACAGTTTATTTTTCGGCCATATCAGTGCAAATTCAGTGGCTGGAGGATAATTTCGACTGATGGTCGGAACTAATATGTCACGTGCCATCCAGCCTATTAAAACTCAGTATTTTGGCCCCTGGCTATAACTACCGACAGTCTCAGACTAGCATAGCCACAATCAATGTGCCCAGGAGAATGAAATACATATAAACAAGCGGGAATCAGTGAGGGAAAAAGAACTCCAAATTTGACAAGCTTTCTAAATAAGATAGTAGCAACTGAGTACTATAGAGCTGACGTCCAAGTAACGCATTGTTTGCTATCAGGCGAGGTGATAGTTAAAAATTTAGTTTGAGGTTTTTCAAATAGAGATGTCGGTTACCAAAAGGGCACAACTATTTGAATGGGGCACAAACTGCGTTAGCAGAAGAGCTTTTTCATCAATTTCAAGTTGGAATTTTCAATGATGTGACAGGAAAAATCTTATTTTTTGGTTTATTACGTTGCACCCACTTGTGTAAACTTTCGTGTGGTAATAAAGTTCGGGTGTTGAGGCCAATGTTTAATCAGTTTCTGGTGAAACCACCATAGCTAATACAATAACACGATGATCGCTGCCTGCTCGAATATTCATTGCAACTGGTAGGGTATATAATAAAGAAACCGTTTTAAAGATGGGCCAGCCAAAGAAGTCATTGTGGTGGAAAAATGTGTCGTGCACTTCAGCTGGTTGTGTACAGTGCCCGGGTGGGTTGTCAGACCAATCTTTGCTCACAGAAACTTAAGACCTGTAGAAATTGTGCACTCACCAGACGGCTACACGCATTCCTTCTGTTTAGCCGCAGTAGGGGACCATGTCAGGAGCCCGCATCAAACCAGCATCTTTTGGACTCCAATGTTTATCTGCTAAACACTTTAGACACCGTTGTCCTTTTCTTTATCAGCCTATTTGTATACAAACGACATTTTCCGTAGGCCCTTTTCCTAAAGCATCGTTCATGTGACCACTGCGCTTAGACGGTGCGACTGGAGTTGGACGGGCAGTAACGATTTCCTTATGGAGCAAACAAGTAATCCTTCTTCCGTGTCAAAAGCTCAGGAATTTGTCACATCATTTTGAAGATGTTTGTGTTTAAATCATTTACTTTGAAACGGCCATCTTGTTCCGCTGCAAATTTCCTGGTTAATTCACACTAGAAGGGAAGAGGACTGAACTCTAGTCGTGCCATTACTGGAGCTAACTAGCAGTGTATATCGTTCACTGGGCTGGGATTCGAACTACGGACATATGGTATTCTAAGTCCTTTTGGGGGGGATTCTGAGGCACAAAAAACAATCAAGTAGCATATGCTGTGCTACGAGGCCTCCGCCTTCCCGACAGGAAGTGTGAAGCGGAAGATATGGTGGACGAAGAAATGGATGGAATGGATCTTTTTGCATAGGAGTTTACGAGAGAGTGTAGAAATCCAGATAGTTCAGATTTAAAAACTTATTGTGGAATTATCTGATAGGTTTAAAAATGCTAATTTTATACCCCCGCACTACATCCTTGTTAGAATTTGGTTACTTTCTTTTGACTGTCAATAAACAGTTTGGTGTTTTGGGTAGCCCAATGGTGGCTTTTGCACAAAAAGGGGACTTCGCGGTTTCAATGTCCCTTTCTGATAGCAGGTTGGGGATTCAGCCTTTATGCCAACGTGACATAATGTCAGCTAATTTAGTAGGAAGCACTGAGGTGTGCGAACCAGATACAAATCTTTGGGCGTTTACGCGAGCCAACTGGTGCAGTCTGAGGATCTTTGTAGACCACAGCCCGACCATTCAAGGCATGTAGTTTTACAATTAAATTTAAATGATAGTGGCAAATAAATGTTATGGCAATAACAGTGCATATAAAACGAGGCAGAGGCTTTACAAAACAAACGACAAAATTTGTTCGGACAGCATTTTGCCCGGAAGGCAAAAGCGGACAATTGGACTGTGAATAATGAGGCCTGTGGCCACCAAAAGTTTTGTGAAATGATTCAACACAAATTGGTAGTTTGGGATATTCCACGGAAAGGATTACATTCGGTAAAAAAACTAAAGGCCTCACTCAAAAAATGATCGATTGTAGGGAGTTTCTACAAATTAAGTGACCTATACATCATTGGCTGTTGTTCAGTCGAACAAATTTTGTGCATTCGAAAAAACAGAAAATTTGTACTCTCTTCCAGCTTCAGAGATTCACCTAGTTTTACGGCTTTAAAATGGCAAAAATGCGCGTGTGAGTCAGTTTTGTACTGTACAGGCAGGCAATTTAAATCGTTCAGGTTAAATTTACGCCACAAAAGGTTTATCTACATCAAAATAAGTTACGTGGTTTTGGAAAGTCTTTCCATGTAAAACAAGATGGTGCGAAAGATGCCTATGAGCGAAGTGTACATTGCAAAAGGAAACATGGTGACAATAAGTTTCCATGCTAAACCCTATATTTGTCGCTGATGTTCGGGGTGATAACTACACTTCTAATCAAGCACCGTTGAAATGAAAGCATCGGCTTTTATTGGGTAACTTTACGATAATCGTTTACACTCGTGGGAGACTGTTGCCTTTGGACAGCATTCATCAAATCCCAGTAACTACCAAATATATCATGCTTTGAACGGGATTCAAAGAGGCCGCAAATGTAGCTCTATGTTGAAGGTATGAACAGAGCTGTTATCCTGTTGAATGCGGTACTACACGTGCCTCTACTCATAGAGCAGATGAAAAACCACGCACAAGCAAAGATTTTTAATAGTTTTAAGCTCGTCTGGAAGGCCTGGTCCCCGATCTTCTTTCACGCCCAGCTTTTGTGGGGTAAAACCAATGTATAAGTATGCTGGGACGACTACTCTAAAGCATACCAATTGGATGTTTTCTGGGCTTTCACTAAATCTGTCGTTTGTAGTGTTTTACACTTGAGTTTGTCGTACTAAGGCCATTTGACATATCAGTTGGGATAACATTTAGAGAATTTAACTACATTTCTGATACATTGCTATTCCTTAGATTGCTGAAAGTATTTCGATAGTTCACAGCTGATTTTGGTCCTTCGGGGGCTCGGAAATCATTTGATGTATCTAAAAAAGGGATAAAGCCGGTAGTAGACTACTGAAAGTTTTTGTTTAGCCCTGCCAAATCAATGAACACACTTGCACTTGGTTTCGCTTGAGAACTGGGCCAGCATGTGTTCAACGTTTTCGTTGGAAGTGTCACAGATAATAAACTCAAAGAGCCTCCCTTTAGCTCCATTGTTTCTTCAAACACTTGTTCATTTCCAAATACAGTCAACATGCTCCACTCTGCACTTTATGGATATACCACAAGCTAGACATTCTCATCGTGATTTGCAATATTTCAGGCCGTCTGTATCTGTGACAACTCCTTATATGAAGGCGAGTCGGCTGGCAGTGGATAAGAGGTTTAGGAGAAACCCGAACCGAGCAACAACAAAAAGATGGAAATCGACTAATTCAAAGAATAGTCGAACGATTTAGTTTATTATATCAGGATCGATTTTTGGATATCACTCCAGGTTCCAACATCAGTAGGAAGCATGTCCGTATTGTGTAAAATGATGCTGTCATGATTAATTTTTCTGTTAGTCATAACGCCTGTTCTCTTTCGGCGATAGAAGTCCGTTTCAGTAAACGGGCCGTTTATTCTGTAGAGCTGAATCTTAAATCTTGATCTTTCCACTTTTAACCTTTTACCTTGACAACATAAATCCCAGGTAGCAATTCAATAAATTTGCTCTACAGTCATTGGCATTCTCACTATTTTCATTACACCAGTCCTTAGGTGTGATTTTGACGGTTGGTACAGGAAGCCTGATTCTCATTCATCGGCAGATCTTTCATCAAATCAGTGAATGGATATTTGCTCTGTTTTGAGGCTTTTGGGAATGCTACCTTTGAAAGGAGGAAAAACCTTCGGTGCGAAGTTATTTATTGGTAAACACGAACTAAGCATTTACAAGTTAGTATGTAAGACAGTAAACATCTCATATGTGCATAGTTTCTAAAAACTGAAAATTCTCACGCGTCTTCTTAAGCTTTCCTGAATATTCATTGACTATTACACACTGGTAAACGGACACTGCGGAGCAGTTTCACAATTCCCGCAATGACTTCACCTTCTCTCAGATGAGGGGCGGAGCTTGATCACTTTCCGTAGACTACTTGTATGATTCCTCAGTAGTATCTATCACTACACCCTTAGTGCAGTACCCAGGATAAACTAGGAATGAAGCTCAAGTGTAATGAAGTTTTTATTCTTCGCACGGTCCTCATCGTACTTATTTGGACTTTGACGCACAATAATAATTAGCAACACATAATAATTTGGCACCAATCCACGATAGCAACTTCAAAACCACGTCATTACCGCTTAAACTTTTGCGTATTAACGATCGCATACCAGATACCGCGTGCGTAACAAGTGAGTCCTATGGCTGTTGCATCTGCAAGTACCATAGCACTGACATCTTACTGTAATAATTTGTTGCCAGATATGTCTTTGCTCATCTGTTATGCAAATGATAGAGCTAAATTCGTTCCCCTCACCTTTAAAATACCTTTTTTTAATCAGATGACACTCAAACCATGCATTACAAAAAAGTGATGTTATCCTCGGAAAAATGAATCACAGCTAATTGACAAACTGACTCGTATCCTTGAGTAAAAGAATAGGTCTCCGGTTGAAGAGGAGAAATTTTAAGATATTATGCAGCGGAATAGAAAATCTTGCCCTTGTGACGGCTGAAGCGAAGTCAACCGGAAATTCACACAGTTTTGCCGGCCAGTTCGGTACTAGGAGAGGACTGATATCGGCATGAATTTGTAGTATCATCGTCGTCGGTAAAACTTTGTGTATCCGATCTACATGCAAACAGTCATTTAGGAAGTTGCTGGAGATATTTTGAGTGGCACATGGGCATAGTAGTTTGGAAGTTATGGACTAGGAATTCGGACAAACTTCGAGCTTAAATGTTACACACTGTGTTTTACGTACATAAAAGTTCATAGAATAGCTGGCATTTATTTCCATATTGTCTGCCAAATCGCTCCAACCGCTGACTCGCAAAAATGCTGATGCCACTGGGAGTTCACAACAAGCCACATGTGCACCTTGTACTCGATGTAAACCCAGTGAAGTAAGCCATTAATACGCTCAGCTGGTGGCCCATTACCGTCAAGTCACTTGGGGACGAGTGAGCAGCTGGTACACACAGTGTTCGCGAAAAATGGTCTGGTACCCCTCACCATAAAGATAAGTTTTTCCCGGCACATACATTTGGTCAGATTGTGATAGCTAGCACTCAGCTTAGTCTGTACAACGATGAACATAAGAAGACATCACTGACACCGTTGCGGACCTAACACTCCAGGATGTTCAGAGCGAATAATTTACAGACGTACACATGAAACCCACATGAGGAAAATATGGTTTCTTGTAATTCAATACAATACTAGAAAATGTAGTGTAGTAGAAATGTAGTGTAGAAAACTAGTTTGATATAGCAATAAGAAAACGTTAGTCTGGATAACCAAGGGCTTTTAGTGGCGAAGCATTTAAGGATACTGAGGGGTTGATGGCTGCCTAATACACGCATACTTACACATGTATATCCATGCACACGCATTTCCAAGTTTCTGTCAGTGTTCAAAAAGGAGCGTGCACTTGGAAAGTGGTCCCAGTCATATTGAAATCGCCCCTATGCACCAAACTGCTGCATTTTGTTGCCCCGCCATCACACGGGAAATGACAAACTTCGCTGTAATCAGAGATTGTCATTGCAGTAATTTTAACTTTGACTTTTTAGATATGTTCACTCATCAATTTTAAATGGCGCTTTCTTTTTTCTCCAGTTTGTCCGCCAGTCACCCCAATCATCAAAGCTTTGAGCCCGAACGAAGGATGGATAACTGGTGGCGAGACAGTGACGGTTATTGGAGAGAACTTTTTTCATGGCTTACAAGTAATTTTTGGTTCGACTGCCGTATGGGGTGAGGTAAGTCCTAATCATGAAGCAGCATTGAACCGTATGTACTTCAAAACTTCGTTGTCTGTACCTCTCCGTTTTTTCCATACTCTGTCTCCTCAGCTGCTCACTCCACACGCTATGCGAGTTCAAACACCGCCTCGTCATCTTCCAGGCATAGTGGATGTCACAATGGCCTATAAAAACAAGACATTCTGCAAGAATAATCCAGGTCGATTTGCTTACATGTGTAAGTCAGTTCGTTCTTCAACTTGTTTCCGTCCTCATAGCCACGAAGGATATCTTGCCAGATATACTGGCTTTGAAAATGTGTTGATTAACAAAGGAGTTTGAAAATGTAACGATATGATGGTGACACGCTAAAAACGAGGTAACTTAGAGTTAGGTACAGCTCCTGGATCTTGCATAGCCGAAGAAGTTCTGAGTAAAACGTGTATAGTTCTGTGGAACGCTCGACTGCCTAACGTGAACCATGCCGCTTTCGGCCGTCAAGCCTTAGAACACACCTGATGCTTTATTCATTCTCTCTTTCACATTTTATCAGCTATCACCGATCCAACAATTGAATACGGATTCCAGCGTCTGTGCAAAATAATCCCAAGACATCCAGGGGACCCTGAGCGGTTACCTCGTGAAATTATTCTTAAACGGGCAGCAGATCTGGCAGAGGCACTCTACACAATGCCATCGAGAAATATCGCCTTTGGATCAACTCTGTTTGCTGCATGTCCGGAAATCGAGCCACAAGAACTCAAAAGTGCTGATACAAGGATTCAACGTCTAGCTTCATCCCCAAAACCCAACAGCTTGGCACGAGGAGCAACATTTGGTGGCCCTTCCATGACAAACTTTCTCGCCTTGTCTGCACAGAACGGTATTGGTTTTCCTTACGCGTACGACAGTATAGACCAACCCACACTGCGGCACCAACTGGTCACACAGGACACCATGCTTAATCAATCGGGCTATGGATTCGATCCAAAACATTTAGATTCGGGTGGAACATGTAGTAGTCAGATGATTCGCTCGATGTCAGATTCTACCTCAGTTATACATGATGAAGTCGTGAGCATGAGTCAGCACAGCGCCAGTAGTGCCGGTAGCAGTGGTATTGAAAGCGTTCAAAGTGAACGACATGATGACGCAGATAGTGGTAGTCCCGACAGTAACACTTGCAACGTTGCGCAACACTCCCAGACACAAAAAGATCATGCATTCCAGGGAAGTCAAGCAGAAGGACATACAGGTCGCAGTGCGAAACGTCCACGATGTGACTGGATCGGTAATGATTCACGTAGAGGCTACCGAAAATCAACCGGTTACACTCCGCAGCTGATTGGTTCAAACGTAATAAACCTCCCGGAGCACGAGGAGTTGCATTCGGTACGACACCAGGCTGACCAAACTCCGATTCTTAAGTCTCGTCCACGTCGAATATCAGATGTCCCACTTCGTGACGCAGTTGACGCAGCTGATCATGATTCCAATGAACAGCCTAGCCCAAAACAGAGACTAATGTTGAAAGAAAACAGGACCACCTTGGCGGACACTTGTGTGGACACTGATCTCCTAGGGAGGAAGGATGGAACAAAGGTAGGTACATTAATTTTACTCTGATCGAAGTTTTCTACGTCCAACAGCAAATGATTCTTTTGAAAAAAAAACAAATGCTAGACGGATAAAGTGGGTTAAAACTCTGGGCAGTCTGTCACCTGTTTCACCTTTCTTGGTGCCAATCAAGTGGGTGATATCTCTTAAATTCCACTAAGCTTATTATCCATTTAAAAGTTAAAACATATGTATGTTGTGACAACTATCCATCTGCAACTTAATTTGTTATTGATAGGAGAGGCAGTTGAAATTTAGCCGAAGCTCTTGCTTATGAAAATTTTCAGAGTTTTAACCGACCTTAGTAGACGGATAAGTGGGTTAAAACTCTGGGCAGTCTGTCACCTGTTTCACCTTTCTTGGTGCCAATCAAGTGGGTGATATCTCTTAAATTCCACTAAGCTTATTATCCATTTAAAAGTTAAAACATATGTATGTTGTGACAACTATCCATCTGCAACTTAATTTGTTATTGATAGGAGAGGCAGTTGAAATTTAGCCGAAGCTCTTGCTTATGAAAATTTTCAGAGTTTTAACCGACCTTAGGTATCTTAAATATGCTTCCAACTGAAACCTTAAGCAACCCTTGTACACGACACTCAGTTGAAGAACGCTTTAAACGTAAGCATCGCGCGCGTAAAATTTAGGATGGAATTCATTTGCTGATGTATCTTTTTGCACTGAATATAAAATTTTATGTTCAAGTACGAAACTAGCCTGTTGTATACTCGGGATCCAGGCCTATCTGATGGGCTTCAGGAATGGCGAAAACGATAGTGAGCCAGCTGTCCAGGGATTTCAAAAACCGATGACCTAAGTATTCTTCAACAAGTTTGTGGTTGGTCTACGCGATCATATTAGTTCAATGTGATCAGATTGGGCCAGGCATCTAGATTTGAGTACCCTGATGCATGCTTTCGTACGCGTTAATTTTAACGTGCCATAAATTCAAAAGTTACGTAGATAAGGGATAAATAATTCTCTCCAGTTGAAATGAAATCAATGCAGGTTAAACTCTATCCCGGCACAGCAGAGATCCCCGTGGAAACCTGCTATGCGAAGAGCGCCACTCCATCGAAAATGATCATAAGGACCACTGTTCCAGTGTTGATGTTCTGTGATGTTACACCGTAGCTTACAAGATATACTTGGGTTCATCTAGACTATGTCTCAGATCAAACATGAATTAGTAATTGATCATCTTTTGCTAAAAAATCTTTTGTATAGCGGAATGATTCGACTTCAGTTTCTTTGAGTGGATAAGCATGGAAGCATTTAGGTAGATAAAAGCGATGAACTTATCCGCGGCTACCCACTTGAAGGTCTTTGTACGAACGTTTTCATCTTTCGGAATTAAGATTTCAGCAAACGGACAGCTTCAACCTCTTCTCACCAATTCAGTCTTATTTATCCTTGACATGACTTCGATTCCGAAGAGAATGTTGTCTAGACTAGCGTTTTTGTTGCAGCTTTCCCAAGCATCTGTGGATTCATCACACCTACTTAGACCGTCCCCAATTTATAACTCACGGAGTGTATCGTATTCCCAACGACCGATTCCGGACTGTGGCGTCCCAAATGATGAGATGGGTGAAAAGTTGCCCTCAGACATGAGTACCAACTGGTCCACCACACAGAACACTTCGGTGAGTTGTCCAAATCGTTTGCCTCAGAAGAATCACATAAACAATCTAACTGATACACTCCGCCTGATAACCGTATTGGACGTACTCCAGTGCCACAAACTTGGCTGAATAATCTTGAAATTTTTGTTCAGTCATCCAGTAATCTGCATACTAACCAGAACTGTTTGTAAATAACTTGAAAAGCTGCCAAAGATTCAAGGGAGCACAGAATCCACCATGATTTTCCTCATGGCATTTTAAAAGGAACAGAAATGTCCGTTTATGTACTTTTCCTAAAGTGTCCTGAACAGCGACGGGTCGGAAAGTGGTTGCCGATAGGTTACTGATTAACTTCTGGCGACAACTTCATCTAGCAGTTCTGCATTCGCGTGGACAGTATCACTCTTCTTGGTTGTTAGTCTGTTCGCTGAGCTTGGCAGTTAGATTGCAAACGTTTCATCACCAATTGAGGAGACATCGTCAGTTCGGGGTTGAGTGGGTCTCAACCAACAACCAAGCAGCACACCAGAGCTACCCTTATTCCACAGCATCGCCATTATCACTTTTCGATAACCAGTCTTTATTGCTGACATCTCGGTTTTTAGGGTTTGTTTCTTTTTCTCACTACATGTTGGCTTATTTGCTAAATCCGAAGAGGCCTGAAGAGGTGTGGTGATTTTCAATAGAGTTTTTACACAGCAAGTATGGCCAGTCTTTGCTGAAAAGCCGAGGACTACTGTACAACTGTTTTATTCTCACTGCGAATCTCCGACAGTGTGCAGCACACGTAACTTAAGAAAGATTCGAGTCCGCGGCTCAAACTGCCAGACTAGGTTATCTAAATCATCTGCAAAGCCACTGCGGATAATCTGACGATGGTATTGCCATGGGCTTGGAATTTTATTGAATTTTATTCGGAAATCCATTGTCAAGCTTTTGAGGATCCGACTTTCCTTGTCAGTGGACTGAAACTTCAAAAGAAAAAATTCTAAAATATGAGAGGTGCTCGAAGAGCGGATGAAACATATATCATGTTTGGCAATCACAAACGCACACAAGATTAGGATATATCTAATAAATGCTGACTTTAAAAAACGTGAACATTTGCATCATGTTGGCAAAATTAAAGTGAAATAAGGGACGTCAGCTTCCGAAACCGGGCAAAAAGGATTTGCTTTAATTCCAAAGCATAATTTCACTAAAATATGGGTAGTTTCGTCTTTAGGATCCAACTTGAGTATCGATCGGGAAGTCGGTGCAACATTATATATATATATATATATATATATAACTCTACACAACGGAAACATTACAAACAACCAGTGGTACGACCACAGAAGTGGGACACTAAAACGTGAAAGCACAGTTTACCTAAGCTCCCAACGATAAGTGAATTCTCGTGAAAGGAAGGGATCACTGGAGTAAGGCGAAGGCATATTCATGTTGCGCTTTGCATTATTTTATTTGTCATTCACTTCTAAACCCCTTAAAGAAGTTGTGCAAAACATGAGAATCTGTTCAAATATGGACAGAATTTCCGAGATGCAGTACCCCTTCGCAAAGGAGTAACTGTGGGAAAACTAAATTAGCTACTCGGTAGAGACCTTCTGAACAAAACATTAATTCGAACTACCGCGGAACATTTTAATACCATCCATTTGCAGATTTTTTCAACACTTTGCTAGGTGAATGCTAAAGCTAGTCAATAACCGCATACTTTGAGTACCAAGATATATGCCGTTTCATGAAACCAATGTCACTCCGGTTATGATATCATTTGAGACTGCTCAAAAAAGCGCTAGAAATGTACCCATATGGGTCATTCTAAGCAGGTTTTTCGAAGATTTATTAGAAAGCTAACAAAATAGCTAACGATTTCGTACCTTAGTTGGATATATTCTGCGCTCCGGTACCCATTTGATACTTCTGTCAAACAGAATTATTGATCAAACTGAAACAAGTGCTGATAATGTTGCGGCAGGGAAATGGTTACCGTTCTGACGGCAACAAGTTAAAAAATTACGCCGCTGATTAAGTGCTTACCACAAGTGGGTAGTAGGAGAATCCTTTCAGGAACTATAATCATTTTATACTTTGATTCTGAGGGTGGGGCTGATTGGCCGGACGGTACTGAAGGCAACTCGATAACGAGAAAATTATCTTCCCGAAGGCTGTCTTTTTCATAAAAGAAACTACTCACAAGGTTGCTGAAAATTCTTTGACAGCCCACGGCTGGTTTCGCCCTTCTTGGGGCTCATCAAGTAAGCGCAGTTCAAGAAGATCATAAGGTTGACGGAAACCTGGGGACTGGGCCCACCTGATGAGCCCGAAGAAGGGCGAAACCGGTCGTGGGCTGTGGATGGATTTTCAGTCTCCTTTACAACCATGAGGGTCGTCTACTTGGTTGTAAAGGAGACTACTTACAAGGTTTCAGAAAGCTCTTTCACAACCCACGACCGGTTTCGCCCTTCTTGGGACTCATCAGGTAGGCGCAGTCCCCGAGTTTCCGTCAACCTTATGATCTAGTTGAACCCAAATTGCATTGTTTTCGAGAAATACATACAC